CAGAGAAAGATCTACCTCCCATAGATAATAGGCGAAATCTCGGAACACAAAGAAGTTCAACTCCAGATGATCGAAGTGGACGAGAGGGAATATATGGAGAAAGCAGGTCAGAGAGATAGGTAGGTGCAAGACCATGGAGTGACTTAAAGGTAACCAGAAGAATTTTATAAATGATACGAGAGGACACAGGTAGCCAGTGGATGTTGAATAGAATAGGAGTGATATGTGCAGACCGTTTAGTGTAAGTTAGCATTCTCGCTGCAGAATTTTAAATATATTGCAATCGAGAGATGGAGCGTACTGGTAATCCAGAAAAAAAGAGCGTTGCAGTAATCAAGGCGAGATGTGATTAAAGCATTTACTAGTAATTCAGCATCTTTTGGACTGATGAAGGAACGGAGTTTGGCAATACGCCGAAGTTGAAAAAATGCAACTTTGGAGAGCTTACCAATATAAGCATCTAGATTTAGAGAAGAGTCGAGAATGATACCTAAGTTTTTAACTGTGGCAGATAAATTATTATTATTATAACATACTGAGTTAATCAGTATGATGGGGTCATATGATAGCATTGTAGTAGGGCTGAAAAACTAAATTCGAATTTTGTACATAAATGTTATCAAAAAATTATATTCTAATTTAAAATGCATAATTTCAGTTAGGGTGAAGAAAAGCTTTTGGCTTCTCTCCTGAGGCCATTTATCCAAAGACTTACAAATGAGGACAATGTAAGTGCTGTGACGAGTCTCGGTTAGTACATGTACACGTAGCAAGTTTTATATATATTTTTATTTTATATATATATATATATATATATATATGTAACTGGGTGGTAAATAACCTTAAAATATGTTAATATGTTTTATATATATATATATATACAGGGCCTTCCTTAGGAGGGTGCAACTGGGGCGGTCGCACTGGGCCCCACACTCGAACGGACGAAGGGGGAATCCCCCAGCCTATCTGCTCACCATGTAGCTATGAGAGAGAGTGACATAAATATTTCCCGATCATAAATTTAGGGGTGTAGTAAAAAACAGTCGAAGCCAATGGACTAAAACATACATTGTTTCGGTAATGACATGAAAAATACGGGACTTACATGAAGATTCATAATTTACAAAGAAAATATAAAATAAATATTTTTTAACTTCACTTTTTAAAAGAATCAAAGGATATTTTTAAAAACAAAAATGGGAAAAAAAATACTTTTTATTTTCAATATCATTTTCATAAGTTGAAATTTAGTGTTTAGGGTTCGGGACAGCCATCTCCAAATTGAAAGTACCCAATAAATGATGATTTTATATACATTAAGATTACTAATATTTTAAATGTCATTGTGGGTTTCAATAGATAATAGAAGGATGAAGGATCTTAGTAAACATTTGAGAATTGAATACTTAAATTATTTTTAAAAGTAGACAGTTATGAATTGCCATTAGAAGTTTTTTACTATATTGCTATTGCTTATGCTGAGGGTTAATGAGTCATATGTAGTTTTTATGGAGATCTGAATTTGAATTTTGTACAGTTGAATTTTAGATGTGACATTTAACAAAATTTACTTTAATTGCCAGAGTACAATGTTCTGATAACCCTGTGGAGCACATAAACTTGGCTTTCTAACTCAATTCTTATCTTCTGAATCTTAAACTTTGATGCATAATCATCAAAAGAATGTTTCCACAAAGTAGGTGGCTTGTGGATGTGTACTATTAAGTGAAGGAATATTTCGGAATTGAAAATCATCGTTTCCCCACCCATTTTAATTGTATGGAAGAGCTCACATGTTCTACTAAACATCTGTTTTTGGGGTTCCTCAGCAAACTTCCACGGGGGCTCAATAAGTCCACTTAATGACCTTAAAAAACACCCAGTGACACCCTAGCATTGCGGCAACTCGGTTAAGCAACAATTGAATTTTAATTTTAAAAAATGTGGACCCATTTTATATCAAAGGGTTAGCTTCAAAAATAAAAATTATGTCATTAATTACTCACCCTCATGTCGTTCCAAACCTGCAAGACCTTCATTCATCTTTGGAACACAAATTAAGATATTTTTGATGAAATCCGATTCTATAGACAACAACGCAACTACCACGTTCAAGGCCAAGAAAATAACATATCAGTGAAGTCCAGTTTTTCCAACACAGCTTTTTCCATTGTGTTGATGCTGTCGAGGATGGCATTAAAGAAATATTTTATACAAAATGAAAATTATGTCATCACTGTCATCATGCTTGATTTTATGCAGACTACAAGTGCACATTCAATACAATTGAGCTTCTATAGACAACAACGCAACTACCACGTTCAAGGCCAAGAAAGGTAAGGATATGGTTAAAATAGTCCATGTGACATCAGTGGTTCAACCTTTATTTTATGATGCCGCAAGAAAATGTTTGTGTGTAAAGAAAACAATAAAAACGACTTTATTCAACAATTTATTCTCTTCCGTGTCAGTCTTCAATGCTTGTTTACGAGAGTATCACGACACATGTGTGTGGTGCTGCTGATGCAGGAGCCGGCATTCTGACATAGAACATCCATCTCTCTTTGTTTGT